ATATTATCACCACAACCTAGGCTCAAATAGACAACTTCCTATCAGTTCTCAGAATTATAAATACGAAATGTATTTATTGTCAGAAAAACACAGGTTCATACGTGACAATTCATATATTCATATGGCATGACAAGCAGCGAAGAAACGTAATCAGCATTTCATTTTGATGACCGGGTATTGCCCACAATTCGGTCATCATAAGGACTCATTTGTTTGGGTAATTCGGTGCAGAGGGGGACGACTGTGTCGTGTATGAAAACGGATTCTGATCGCCTCCGCCCTGTGGGAAAAAAGGCGACTCCTAATCCCGTTTGATTGATGACTGCTAATGTCGAAAACCTCTGTAGGTCGTCGTTGGTCAGCCTTCCCTTGCAGCTCACAAAATGATCCTATACGATCATCCGTCTCAAATGGCCTCTGCAGAGGAAGCCCTTCTCACTGCCTTCCCGTGGTGGAAATGTTTTCCCCTCAAAGTGAGGGGACGAAAAGCCAACATCCGAGGCTATAACCGGGTTGGTGGACCACTGGTAGTTCACCTAGGGGAGTTGACCAAAATCCCTGATTCCAAACCAACCAAGAGGAGGCGTACGAACCACACGCAACTACACCTTTTTGGATGTGTCGGTGGTTACTGGCTCGATTGGGCATCGGGGTATGTTGCACTCCTTGGACGTTTGACTCCGTCCGAAGGACGTATGATCCGATGAACTGCACACCAACCCCCAATAGATTGCGTTTTTCACACATCGCCCCGCTCCCCCGTGCGCCACGCTATGGCTAGCCGAAAGCTCCGGTTGTGAATTCCTCGGAAAAATTCACCTGAAAAACATGGCCGTTTTTCGCCCACTTATAAACCATGAAACTTTCTCATTTTAACAAAGATTATTGTTCCGTGATTTATTTGGCACACAGTCTGGTGTCAGACGCATGCTACGGATACATACATGCGACTGCGAACCAGGTATTAACCAAGTGGTTTGTTTCTACTGTTGATAGGCCTCACTATTCATCCATGACAGGTGGTACACAGGGACTCGTTCAGATAAACGTCTGCTTGTGAGGCCAAATATACCTTGTCCCACAGGAAAGAGTGAAAAGACACAAGCAGAGCGAGAGAGAGAGACTGCAGATACAGGCAGCTTTTATCTTTGAGTTGAAAGTGAAAGAAGTGGCCTGTGGTTTCGCTACTAGAATTGCTTTTGTAGTACTTGTAGTATGCACTGATCATGAAATAAGAATCACGGATTAGAAAGCACGGACGCCACGTAAGCCCTGGGTTACACTGGTACCACCACGACAGTATCCAACTTAACCGAGATGCGAGGAAAAGGCAACAGGAAGAACAGTTCGTTTATTGAAAGAATGCAGGGGGGTGGGTTAAATAATATGTACGAAACAAGTTCATTGGTCATCCAAGCCTATGCCAATCACGTGGTAGTATTTCTGGCGTTGTTCAGCTTCTATCTGAGCCGCATGGTTTCTGATTGGTTGGTACACTCGGCCTATGATTTGTAGACTGGAAACTGTAACACGTACGCGCTTTGCTGACGTCACTTAGAAATTTTGATTGATCACAGTTGTCCAAATATCGCAATGTATTATTCCGTGTCATGCATCATCTCGTTGGATAGGATCACCACAGCTTTTTCCCCGGTCATTCTCAGTATACGTGCCACCATTCATGATTTTTAACAAAAACAATCCTGATCGGTATCAAAGACATAGCATCCATTTTTTATTACGTATCATAATACCAGTTCCATTAACCCACAGAAATATCAATCTTCGATTCGGTTAAAAGCGATCAAATTTTGAACCTCGGGATAGTTAGTTACTCACTGCTTTCAGTCAATTGATAGACCAATTCGAATTTCACAAACCAATCTGAAGGGTTCGCCGAACAAGGACGGATGGTGAAACACATTTTGTTCCATATTCTCATATGATCAATTTGTTTGAATACCCGTTCATTCCAGATCCCTTCATGATAGGTTCTTTTGAACTTCCCCGGATCCTGTTTCCATGGTCTCCATCCCCCTTTAACAGAGCACAACCCGTTATCGTGGATGCAGTTGATGAACCAATTCAATCCGACACGCTGTGCTTACCTGAGTTTGGTCTATATGGTCTAGTCCTTGTAATAATCGGTCCATTGGAGCAGGTAAAGTGTGAGCATGTCGGTTTAAACACCTATCGATCTACACTGATCTTTCTCAAATCACAAAATAATTGTCCTTCTTATCAAAATTTTTTATCATTTGTGTGGATTCAATTAGTTTCATATGAATGAAAGGGTTATTTCAACTACGAATCAAATATCTCAGGTTTAATTTTTCTTTTTGAGCACACGTTTTTGTTCACTGTTTTAATGAAACTGTTTTCTCGGATTCCATCAATCTTGTGCGATTTTGCACTCCAAGGGGACGCGAAAGAGTGTGTGTGTGTGTGTGTGTGTGTGTGTGTGGAAGAGAGAGAGAGTAACGTCCCGGAAACCTGGATATTGTATGTTAGTCAGTAGTATACTGAGTAGTACGAAAAATCGGTTGCTATGTTTGTGACGAAATAAACGGTGGCCGAGACAACTACATTACTCCGGTTATTTGTTCCCATCATTAATCATTACCGACTGTTAATTAAAAATGACATTTAAATATAATATCTCAATCGTTGTGTATGAAAGAATTTGAATTATTTTTACTGATTTGAACTAACCATCGACTTTAAACTTTGCCACAGTTCATCCAGTCAATCATACACTCGGAAGTACTTGATTCGAGTTCTGCCTTTTGATGCATATATACGCTATTGATGCGTGCTAATAAGAACGATCATCAATCATCTTCAATCCCACATCACTACTCACAAATAACTCTGAGGTAAACGAAAATCTTTCATGTTGTTCTCAGCCCATTTTCATTTTCCAGTGTCTGCTTATCTTCAAAAACGACTTACCTGTTGTTCAGAAAAATTTTTCTCACACAATTACTGGTTTTCAATTCCAATTGGCATGATGGGCGGGAGGATTGTGGAACTGTGTACATGGCGTCCACGATGATCTATCCACAACGATGTTGGTTATACTGCCAACATATATGCTGATTTAGAGTCGATCTTTATACATATATATATATATATTCGTGTGTGTGATATAATGTCTAATTTGTGGATACAACTGCATTCAAGAGAAGCCATACAGTCGAAAATGAGTGAAATATTTGTTACTGGGTCTATTCAGGAGATTATCTTAGTTCCCTCACTGTTCGCTTTGGAATCTATTCATGCTTTTCTGTTGGCATATGTGTACCACAGCGTCTGAATACATCCTGCCGCTCTAAATTGAAACCGATCGATATATTCGTTGTGGCCAGCATTGGTTGGCATCATCAAAGCCATCGTTACTACCTGCGACCGGAATAAACTTAACAAGCGAATCGATTCATGAACTTGACTTGAAAAACTGATATTTTGAATTAAATCGCGAAAGAAACGCTGTAATTGGATTCACTTCCGTTCAGCGCATCTTATTGATCAATTAACCATACGTTTTTGTTATCCCCAGGATTGCACTCGTCATCTAGTGCTTTTTCTGTGTTGAAATGAGGTAGACCTCAGTTGTGCGTGTTGTCGAGCTCGCTGACAGATGTCGATTAGGCGGGTCGGTAAGGCCTTACGATTTGCGCGAGACAGTTCAGCTAGACTGGACTCGAAAAGAATGCAGAGTGGCACACTGTTTCGTGTGCGCAACAACTAAGTCAGAACTGGTCGTAGTTGCTCGGGTGTTGACGATATCTGAGTTACCAAAGCATATGTATATATATAAGAAACAAAAAAATGGATGGTTCGACCGTTTACTTCATCGTCAGTATCACCTTAGACCTGTGGGCCGATATTGTCGCTGTGCTTTGGATCTATCTGTTACTAGTTGCTATATTCGCCCTGGACGTTCGATCGGAACGACCGTCCCTTGTCCAGGCCCGAACAACAGTGCGAAATAGAGGATACTAACGGATAATGACGATCTTGGTATTGTGTGATCATGGCATAGTATAAAGGGGTGATCGAACATACGAGACATCGACACATCGGTGCACCAATCATCTCATATCGCGTCCTTGATTCTCCGATTGGTCGATCGGACAATTGCTGTTTGACTCGATCGACAGCTATCCAAGTCGTATTCGATTTACCTTTGGCGTTATGAGCGTGATTGTTGCATAATACTGACCGGTCTGTGGCCTGACCAGTTCTATTAGCTGCTTCTTAACAAGCATGCTTCGATTTTTATTTTGTTCGTATGAATTTTGAAATGAGTATATTACTAATTGTTTTGGAGTGTTGTTTGAACTGATCGTTTGTTTTACTGCATCAATTGTGTTTTTTGTGATTGGTCAGTGTAAGACTTTAGTTTTGCCCGTCGAACAATCTGATTGGTTCAGGGTTATATATAAATGTCTGTGATTCGCTTCCCAAATGTGATTCGTGTCCAGTGGACTAGAGAAAATATAGCGAGAGCATTTCCTGACGAACTGACTTTTGACACTCATGATAACTAAAATTAGTTAACAAATTTTAATTATTTGATGAATAAACAATTGATTGTATTATTAGATTTCACGAATGGACAGATTTCGAGTGATGAAATGAAGTGTTCGATAAGGTTAGCTTTGGGGACCGAATGTCAACCACACGCCCCAACAATGATAAATATCATGTTTTGGTTGTAATTCTTCGCGTTACGTGCATTCACAAACCTCAACACGCCTCAAATATCCGATTTTAAAATCATCTTGATAAGCGATATCAGACCAGGAGGAAATTTTCCCAATAATATATTGCTGATTGGTTCATTCAGTTTATAATTATTCAAACTTATCGTAATATTATGCATTTTATCCGGTTCACCAGTTATAGAACCTACGGAATATGATATTTCAACCCTTTTGAAAGATTTTCACCATTCCTTCATCTGTTGTACTGCACTGTGTGTTTCCAAACCCTAGCCTCCACAAAGTTGTGTCATTCGAGTGACCATAGACTATTTGATTGCTGGTCGACTGGTAGCTTCCCGCTCCACTCTGAGTGATTCACAACGGTATTTTACGGGCACAATGACCTCCCCGAAACTCCAGTTGAATGTAACGGAAGAAGATCAGATTGAAGAAGATCTACGTCCCGAGAATGCGATCAATGTACTTTATTTCCCCGACGAACGCGAATTGTTGTTTCCAGTAAGCAGATACATTTCTCGGATGTTGTTTTAAACTGAGCAACTAACACCGAAAATCGGGTTCGGTAGTTTCATGTGATTTCAGAAAGTAAAAAAGGAACAAGTTACTTAAACTAGCGATAATCCTGTTAATATACAGCAGCAGCAACTCCCAAAATTATACCAAGGTCCAGTCATCCAGTTCCCTATACTGGAGACCCTTCAAAAATTCGCAACCAACTTGTCACAAATACACTCAAACCATTGGACAAAACTGAAGACCTATTGACGGTGTCTTGTTAGCCGAAAGGTTGAGCGGTTATGGTCAACAGAAGTATGACGGGCCCCGGGTTCGAACACCACACTTACGGATGAGCACCCACATCAGCCCATTTTCGTAATTGAAAACGTACTACTCATTAGTAGTATATGGTTATAAAAGCACACAAATACATTTTTTTATAGTCCGTCACTAAATTCTCTAACATGGACAAAATTGTGGAATATGGTGTGACTGAATATCAATATCAGTAGTCAATGTAAATATGGAAAACTCAAACCAAACGCACCATCTGATACATTAACATTTTTGAAGCGGCCTATAATACGACTCAAAAAAGAGTCTATACAATTTGTATGGACACCGGTTGCGGCATTTAGAAAACCGTCTGCGATTGACGCATTTGAGCATATACCCTGGTGAATACAGGGGGTGATATGCATCCCACTGATCAGTGTCAACTGCAGTTTCCGGCTGCATCCATCGATGAATTATAGGTAATTGCAGCACACAAACCTCGCCATGAGTTTAATGCAGGATACTAGGGCAAAATATTAGGGCGGATTGATGCAAAATGGCACTCTTTAAGTAATATTTATCTTTTAGAAAATGATGCTACTCATGAGTACTATGAACAAAAGTGTAATAAATTGTATTGTATTGTATTTGTAACTTTTGTAAGCATATATGCTTTCATTTCAGTTAAAAATGTACATTTTTCGTCGCGCAGAATGAAATAAAAATAATCAAAACAAAAGGTAAACAAGGTCGGTGATATACGTATCATGTACAAAGCATTTGACGTAGTTCATTTGAGACCTGTTCCTTTTTGGTAAGTAGTCGGGCCAGGTAGGGGAATTTTTTTCAGTAAAAAAATGAAAGTCCGAGGGAGATGAAATTGTCTGAGACAAAACGACGTCATCAGCATACTTTTGGATGTGCGCAGGAAGTGGGACCGAACGATCACTAATGAAGGCAGAAAAACGATATGGAGATAGAACAGCACCTTGAAGAACACCAGAATTATTTACAAGAGGTTTGGTGTCTTCCTTCCTAATTTCGTGCACTGGACCCTCTGTGTAAAATAGTCGGAAAGCCATGAGAGCAGCTGTTTTGGAGTGCTAAAAGACTGAAGTTTGAAAAGAAGGGATGATCGGGAAACAGAATCAAACGCAGACGAATAGTCAAGAAAAACACAACGGACAGACTTGACCGAATGGTTCAATGACTTGCAGACAAAATGCACTAGAGTGGATACGGCGTCCAATGTAGACCTGTTTGGTTTATATGCAAACTGAAGGGGGTCATGGGGAATTGTGGTGTCTGACTGCAACCGACTCAGGATGGCTTTTTCAGTTACCTTTAGAGCCGCTGAGGTCAACGCGATAGGACGAAACCGTTTCGCAAGAACAGTTGAGGACGTGGATTTGGGGATCGGAACAATGGTCACTGGACGCCAAGAATCAGGAATCGACCGGGAAGATAGGGACTCATTGACGATGGATGTCATCATATTGGTTAAGGAAGCTGCTCCAAATTTCAGAAGTGCCGGAGGAAGACCATCAGGGCCTGCAGCTGAG